ATCCAGTTAGGACTATAATAAAGGCAAGTGACTGGTATTGGCCACAAAAGAGTGAGTGCTGGTTCACATATATACATACTGGATGCAGTTTGAAGCGCATCCAATACGTAAGACATGTGAAAAAACATTGTTTCCTATGGTGTCTGTTCACATATGTCCAGTGCACTGCCAGTGCGGATTCAGTATGGATTCAATGCGGTTTGAAAAAGAGTGATGTACGATTTCTGAGCAGTGCGGTCCGGTTCAGGTGCGGATTACAGGCTACTGACTTCTTGGGAACCGTTTCTAAACCGCATATGTGTGAACAGGATAATCCTGAGAGGTAATCCTGTCCTGAACCTGATGTAAACCTAACGTGAACCGGTAAAAAACAGTTTTCACTACTGGTCTGGAAGATGCTGTTTTTAAATAAACATGCCTTTTGAAAGAGAAAAAAATGTGAGTGGTAATAATCCTTAGTTTGAATAACGATGTTAAGTGGCAATATCACACTATGTAAGTTTTTTTTTCTCCCTGGTTGAACGGTGGAGCCTATTTGTATCGTTGAAGATCCCTTTAGAGTGAACAGCAAAGAGGGCTTAGGATCACTTAAATTCCTAAAAAGTGTCTCATTCACCTAAATCTGGTGAGTGTATTTGATGTTGATTTCACGGGTGGAAGGTGGAAGTTCTTTTGGTGTATTTGAAGAGTCTTTGGGAAAGAAGAAATTCACTTGATTAAAAAAAAATGTTCACTTCATATATATATATATATATATATATATATATATTATTTATTTTATTTATTTCACGGACAAATCTTTTTGGTGTTTTTTGTGGACTTTCACTATTCATTTTTTATATTAATTTTTATTATAAATTTTTTTATTATTATGATGCACTTTATGTATTGATGGTGTGTAGAGGTCTATGTTTGCGCTGGTTTATTCATTATTTAATCTTCCCTGTAGTTCAATCTATGTCTTGGTTATTAAACCAAGGATAACCTAAGATAAGGGGATAAGCAGGAGACTTTTCAAGTAGAAGCTTATTGTCTCCTTATGAAATTACACAATTGGTACAGTGCATAAATTGACCAGACCCATGGACAAAGGAGAGTTAACAACAGAAAGTTTGGGCACCTTAGTTAAGGGAATCTGTAGATGGTGTGCAAGGTCCCAATCAATGAAATTCCTAGGGTACCACGATCTATGAAAGCTGACAAGTGATGAGGAAACGTGGCAGAACTAAGTCACGCAAAAACAAATAGTTTGTCTCTAGGGGAACATGGCACTGTATAGTCTAGAGAAGCAGGTCCCACTAGACTCTTGGCATTACCCAGCTTATTAGGGCAGCCATCCAAAAAGTGGCCGTGGTTGCCACAGTATAAGCAGAGTCCCTGGGATCATCTTCTAGCCTTTTCCCTGGATGATAAATAAGCAGCGCCATTTTGTATGGGCTCCTCCTGCAGGTGGCACTGATGGGTACTGACTAGCATCATTGATGGACACTAAAAGGCAGCGCTAACAGGCACTGATATGTTGCACTGGTCATTGATAGGTAGCAATGAAGGGAACTGATTGGCACTGATAGATGGCACTGATAGGCAGCACTGATGGGCAGAACTGATAGGCAGCACTGATTGGAACTGTTAGGCGGCACTGATGTTTACTGATAGGTGGCACTGACTGGCACTGATAGGCGGCACTGATAGGTATCACTGACTGAGCACTGATAGGCAGCACTGATAGTTGGCACTGAAAGGCAGCTCTGATGGGCACTGATAGGTGGCATTTATGTGCACTGATGGGCACTGGTATGTGGCATTGATGTGCACTGATATGTAGCATTGATGGGCACTGACAGGCAGCAATTATGGGCACTGAGAGGCGGCACTGATAGCTGGCACTGACTGGCACTGATAGGTGGCACTGAAATGTAGCTCTGATGGGCACTGATATGTGGTATTGATGTGCACTGATGGAAACTGATATGTGGCATTGATGTACACTGTACACTGATTTATTGCATTGATGTGCACTGATATGTGCTACTGTGGGCACTGACAGGTGGCGATTATGGGCACTGAAAGGCAGCACTGATGGGGCAGCACTGGTAATCAGGACACTGATGATCAGTGCCCTGATTATCAGTGTAGGTGTCCCCTCTGAGGAATGCTGCTTACTGGCCCTACTCTCCTCATGTGCTGTCAGCATGAGGAAAGGAGAGCCGATAACCGACATTTCCTATTTATTTACATGTGATCAGCTGTGATTGAACATACCCTGAAAAGTACTGGGAACGTTGCTCAGCCCAAAAGGCACACAAATAACTGTCTTTTCCAGGTCTTTTTCTCTCATTGGGACCTGCCAATAATCTCTGGCCAAGTCCAAGGTGGAAAAATAACTGTCCTGGCCCAACGCCATGAGCGATTCCTCTGAGGCAGTGGGCAGGCATCCCAGTGGGTACAGGCGTTGAGCTTATGATAGTCCTCACAAAATCATAAACTTCCATCCTTTTTGCACACCAGGACAATGGGGGCAGCCCATAGACTACAGCTCTCCTTCATTATCCCACTTTGCGGATCAAGACATATATAGGTACAGTATATGGATATCTCTCCTGAATGGGAGAGGTACATTCCATATGAATAGGGTGATCTATGGCCTCAGCGCACCCATAATCTTCAGGTCCAGTTGCAAAGACTAATAAATGTTTCTCCAGCAATTGATAGAGGAGATGTTGCTGGATTAGTGGGTAGTCTTGGAAAGGGATGGCTAGTTGTTCCAGCAACTGCTGACACTGGTCAACATCCAAGAAGGTCATAGCTACTTGCAAAGGAGCACAAAAAACTTCTACTGCCAATTGGGACCCCGTGATGCAGTGTTTGGGTACGACATAAAGATCTGCAAAGTTCCTGCAGTTCAGCAGGAGGACAGGAGCAGTCTCCAAGTTGCTGAGCTGGACCAGTACTCTGCAATGATGTGTCTTGGATGTATCCCTTTAATGTGAGCCCCAATGGGCAGGGAGCAAATTACTTCTTGGAGGGGGGTCAGCAGCATGTTCTGCTTCAGTGGTGTATGAACAACACCCACGCATCCTATTGCCCTTATACACAGATGTATATGCAATACTTGCAGAAAGTGATGGGACCGACACCACCTGGCACAGGGAGCAGTTGGCAGGTAGTGATGCAACGAGGCACTTGACGCTGAAAGGTTCCACAGTTTGACAGTAGGCAGGTAAAATCACCTGGTTGCGTCCAGGGCTCTATGGGGATTTGTTCCACTAGGGGGAAGTGCTGAGCCCTTCAGCAGTGAGGTAATGAGCCCAGCTGAAGCAAGTAGGCTCATTAGGGCCTCCTATAAAACTTCCCAGCCTGCATAGGGAGTTGCTCCATCCTGGAACCAGTCCTGTGCCCGAGTAGACCGGGGAGTGTCAGTCCCGCGCCCGAGTAGACCGGGGAGTATCAGTCCCGCGCCCGAGTAGACCGAGGAGTATCAATCCCGCGCCCGAGTAGACCGAGGAGTATCAATCCCGCGCCCGAGTAGACCGGGGAGTATCAGTCTCACGCCCGAGTAGAGACCGGGGAGTATCAGTCCCGCCCCCGAGTAGACCGGGGAGTATCAGTCCCCGCGCCCGAGTAGACCGGGGAGTATCAGTCCCGCGCCCGAGTAGACAGTATCAGTCCGCGCCCGAGTAGACCGGGGAGTATCAGTCCCCGAGTAGACCGGGGAGTATCAGTCCTGTGCCCAAGTAGACCGGGAGTATCAGTCCCGCGCCCGAGATAGACCGGGGAGTATCAGTCCCGCGCCCGAGTAGACCGGGAGTATCAGCCCTGCGCCCGAGTAGACCGGGGAGTATCAGCCTGTCTCCGAGTAGACCAGGGAGTATCAGCTCTGTGCCCGAGTAGACCGGGAGTATCAGCTCTGTGCCCGAGTAGACCGGGGGGTATCAGTCCTGTGCCCGAGTAGACCGGGGAGTATCAGTCCTGTGCCTGAGATGACCGGGGAGTATCAGACCTGTGCCCGAGTAGACCGGGGAGTATCAGTCCTGTGCCAGAGTAGACCAGGGAGTATCAGACCTGTGCCCGAGTAGACCGGGGAGTATCAGACCTGTGCCCGAGTAGACCGGGGAGTATCAGTCCTGTGCCCGAGTAGACCGGGGAGTATCAGACCTGTCTCTGAGTAGACCGGAGAGTATCAGACCTGTCTCTGAGTAGACCAGGGAGTATCAGTCCTGCGCCTGAGTAGACCGGGGAGTATCAGTCCTGTGCCCGAGTAGACCGGGGAGTATCAGACCTGTCTCTGAGTAGACCGGGGAGTATCAGACCTGTCTCTGAGTAGACCGAGGAGTATCAGTCCTGTGCCCGAGTAGACCGGGGAGTATCAGTCCTGTGCCCGAGTAGACCAGGGAGTATCAGACCTGTGCCCAAGTAGACCGGGGAGTATCAGTCCTGTGCCCGAGTAGACCGGGGAGTATCAGACCTGTCTCTGAGTAGACCGGAGAGTATCAGACCTGTCTCTAAGTAGACCGGGGAGTATCAGTCCTGTGCCCGAGTAGACCGGGGAGTATCAGTCCTGTGCCCGAGTAGACCGGGGAGTATCAGTCCTGTGCCCGAGTAGACCGGGGAGTATCAGACCTGTCTCTGAATAGACCGGGGAGTATCAGACCTGTCTCTGAGTAGATCGGGGAGTATCAGACCTGTCTCTGAGTAGAGCTGGGAGTATCAGACCTGTCTGTGAGACAAATGCCTATGTGGCTAGCCTCAAATTAACAGGGAGACAGGGACTGTGTGTAGCATAAGGCTGCACCTAGTTGATAGCGAGGGAAGCTGTGTGTATAGTAAGTGGCCAAGTTGGCAAGGATTTATTTTCATGTTTTCTTTGTGTTTTGATGTTTTTCCTCTTGTAAATAAACTGCACCTGTGTTTTCTCACCTAAACTGCTGTTTTGCTGTGCCTGTTTTGTGTTGTGACCTCATCCAGGGGGTAATGGAGGATGAGTTCACAACACAAAAACAGATGCAGCTGCTCGGCCATGGTAGCCCATTCTATGAAGCTCTCTATGCACTGTTGTCCTAATCTGAAGGTCACACGAAGTTTGGAGGTCTTTAGCTATTGACTCTGCAGACAGTTAGGGACTTCTGTGCACTTCACCATGTGCTGACCCTGGTCTGTCATATTACGTGGCCTACCACTTCATGGCTGAGTTGCTGTTGTTCCCAGTTGCTTCCACCTTGTTATAATACCACTAACAGTTGGCTGTGGAATATTTAGTAGGAAGGAAATGTCACGGATGAATTTATTGCACAGGTGACAACTTATCACGGTACGCTTGAATTCACTGAGCTCCTGAGAGTGATCCATTCTTTCACAAATGTTTGTAGAAGCAGTCTGCATGCCTAGGTGCTTGATTATATACACCTGTGGCCATGGAGGTGATTGGAACACCTGAATCCAGGGATAGGAGGGCTGGGATAGGAGGGCTGGCCCAGTACCTCTGACAATATAGTGTAGATAAAACCCTGTGCATGACTTTACATATGTCACACGTTGTGGAGCACGTACTGTGATGGGCGGGGCATGTACAGAGTCCCCTCCCCCTTCTGTTCTCAGTTGGGAGTCTCCTCAGGCGGTGTGTCGGTGTTTGTCGGTCCGGGCAGTAGAAGTTGAGGTAGGTGATATGCTTCTTAGTACATACGAACAGGTAGGTGGCTCAGTCACAGGAGCTCCTATACGGCCCGTTCTTCTCAGGGGTGACTGGTAGTGGAGCGGAGGATTCCTCTGGGAGCGGCTTCCGGTTTGTGTCACCTTGACAGTGCGGAGGAAGGACGAGCCGGTCACCGAGCAGTGTACACCAGGGTACCGATCACCTCCCTCCCGGCCCCGGGATCACCATTGTGTCACTCATGTTCTGTGTGACAGGAGGAATGCGGAGTGACACCAGGGACACGGCTGGTGATTGGAAGGTTTCCGCTATTATGACTGATGGGGACATACACCATCCGATCCGATCACAGGATCAGTAATATGATGGGTTCTATGAATTGGTGAGAAGACGCACAATGTACATCCATCGATTTCAAGCAAAATAGAACAATCTCATCAGAATGACCCCAATGAGTGTAGACAGAAATCCCAATGGCAGATGGTTCAGTATGATGGCATATGGTGGTCATACACGCCTCAATAAAGGATTTCTTTTCTGATAGGAAGTATCAAGTAGTATCGTGCTCTGATGTGTTCAGATCCTGGTCCGAGCCCACCTGAGTGACCCCCCCTAGGAAGATGTCACTGTACCGGGCCAATCATAGGCAGCCAAGGAATATGCCTCATCTGTGTATGATTGGCCCAGTACAGTATCAGCCTCCTGGCGGGATCGCTCAGCTGGGCTCATCGCTATATACAACCCAATCAGTCAGTATATCACACACTGGGAAGGGGATTTCAATCAAAAGTAAAGCGGAGCTTCAGTCTCCCATCCCCCTCCCCTTTACCCACCCCCCCCCCCCCAAAAAAAGTCAGCAGTTACAAATACTTTACTGCTGACTTTTAATATAAATAGCTTCCACTGCTTTTCTCTTTCTAAACAAAAAGAAATATATGTTCTACTTACCTGTTCTGTGCAGTGATTTTGTACAGAGCAGCCCTGATTACTCTTCTTGAGTCCCCCATTGGAGCCCCTGCCTAGTGCCCCCAGAGCAAGCAGCTTGCTATGGGGGCACCTGAGCAGGCTCACTCCTGAGCCACTGCTCTGCGTGTCCATTCATATAGAGCCGCGGCTCAGCCCCCCATTGGCTCACTGGTTGTGATTGACAGCCATTGGCTTCCACTGCTTTCTTAGTCAATGAAGAGGAAGAGTACTGGCAGAGCCTAGGCTCTCATGCGCATTACATAGCATGCTTGAAGTTAAAAAAGAAACCTTGAGCCTTTACAACCACTTGCCCTCCAGAAGATTCCCTTCCTGACCAGGCCATTTTTTGCAATTTGGCGCTGCATTACTTTAACAATTGCGCAGTCATGCAATGCTGTACATAAATTAAATTTGTAGTTTTTTCCCCTTAGAGCTTTCTTTTGGTGGTATTTGATCACCATTGCGGTTTTTGACTTTTTGCTATAAAACGTATCTAATAATAAAAAAAAAAAAAATTTAGGCCAAAATGTATTCTGCTACATAGCTTTGCTAAAAAAAAAATCCCAATACATGTAAATTAATTGGTTTACGTGAAAGTTCTAGTGTCTACAAATGGCGGTATAAATACTGGGATTTTTTTTTTTGTAATACTAGTAATGGCGACGATCAGCGACTTATGGCGGGACTGTGAGACTGCGGTGGACAGTCTGACACTGGGAGGGAACTGATTACCTGCATCTGACATCTAATAAAAAGCACTGCCACTGTACTAATGACAATGGGCAAGAAGTAGTTAACATCTGGGGCAATCAAAGGGTTAACTGTGTGTTAGGGAGTGATTTTATTATGTACTGTGTTTTACTAAGCAGACCTGCTGCTTTCTATCTCTGCTTTGCAAGGAGATAGAAAGCAGCACCTCCATGCTGACAGGAGAGCGATTTTGTGTTTACAAACAGATCTCTCCCCTCTCAGCTTCACCGAATCCCGGCTGAAAACCGGGACTTGGCGATTGACATCCTCACGAGCCAATAGGAGCGTGGGTAGGGCGATGCATGTGTGCCCCTACCCGGAAATGTAAAATCATGTATATTCACCCTGTAGCAGTACATCTGCTATGAGGTGTCGGGCAAGCGGCGTTAAGGGGTTTGTTTACAAAACATTCCTATTTTCTCTAATATGATATTTCTTATGATCATCAGCTTCACCTGGTGGCCAAAATTCAATATTGTTTCTGATTGTAGTATTTCAGAACAAGTACTGCATTGTGGCCACTATATGATGCTGATAATCAGAAGAATTCGCCATATTGGAGGAACTCCGGGTGAAATTCATGCAGGCTCAGTAGATGTTTGACATTTATCCAATGAATGTTTTATAAATAGACCCCTAAGTAATGGTCACAGTGGAAGAGGCTTTTGGAAAACTTGCATTTGTTTTCTTCCACCTCCTGGTTTGCAGTAGGCACTGGTGATGTAGCTAGGGCCTCCGGTGCCCCCTGGGAAGGTTGCATCAGCAGTGCCCTCTCTTCTGATCCTAGCCCACAATGCAGAAAGTCTGTTGGAGGTTTGTCCCTATTCACATATGGCCAGGTACGTGAGTACCACTGGGAACAGCGCACAGCTGCTGCTTGTTTCAGCCTTTTATTGATTTTGACAGACTTCCAGTGACTGTATGCTGCACCTGTGCCTCCTGGGTTTTAAAATACTCCTATATTGTACACAGTATGTTCCATGCTTCCCGTATTTGGCTGCATCATGCAGGAGATCAGTCTCCCCATACAAGTATAGTGAGGTGAAAGGTAAGTATAAATAGGTGGTCCAGGTGGGTGATGAACAGATCTTGTCTGCCCTGAATGGACAAGGTGACGGGGCCTTCCCAATGCCTATTTCTCTTGCTGCCATTGGTTTATGAAAATCCTTTTTCTTCCATAGACGCCTTGTTTAAGCAGTGTTACCATCCCTAAACTCCAGTTCCACCATATTAGTGGTTAACCCCTTGTCTACCAGAGTGGGTTTATGATTGGTGGACCCTTTCACCCACCACCATTTATATCCGAACTCTGGAATAAAGACCACGGGACGTCTGTTCCAGCCCCAAACTTCTGTGTATGGAGTGGCTGCAAGCATACCTTGCGGTCCCTGTGATGTCCAATCACGGTGGTCACAATGTAAAAAAAAAAAAAGTGGATTTACGCGGTAGATCCCTCCCCTTTTACTTGAAACAGAGGACGGAGATAATTCCGTGAATGGGGAAAAAGAATGAATGGCTCTGCAGCGGCAGCTCATTGATTCATTCATCTACACCCACATTAACCTTTCACCACCTCCTCTCCTACATGTCTGATCACCTGCCAGTCTCTCTACTGACCTCACTTGCCCTATCCTGCGCATTAACCCCTGCCAGTCTCTCCACTGACCTCCCCTGCCCTATCCTGCACATTAACCCCTGCCAGTCTCTCTACTGACCTCTACTGATCTCACCTGCCCTATCCTACACATTAACCCCTGCCAGTCTCTCTACTGACCTCACCTTCCCTGCCCTGCGCATTAACCCCTGCCGGTCTCTCTACTGACCTCACCTTCCCTGCCCTGCGCATTAACCCCTGACAGTATCTCTACTGACCTCACCTGCCATATCCTGCACATTAACCCCTGCCAGTCTCTCCACTGACCCCCACCTGCCCTATCCTGCGCATTAACCCCTGCCAGTCTCTCTACTGACCTCACCTGCCCTATCCTGCGCATTAACCCCTGCCAGTCTCTCTACTGACCTCACCTTCCCTATCCTGCGCATTAACCCCTGCCAGTCTCTCTACTGACCTCACCTTCCCTATCCTGCGCATTAACCCCTGCCAGTCTCTCTACTGACCTCACCTTCCCTATCCTGCGCATTAACCCCTGCCAGTCTCTCTACTGACCTCACCTTCCTTATCCTGCGCATTAATCCTTGTCAGTCTCTCTACTGACCTCACCTGCTCTATCCTGCACATTAACCCCTGCCAGTCTCTCTACTGACCTCACCTTCCCTGCCCTGCGCATTAACCCCTGCCAGTCTCTCTACTGACCTCACCTTCCCTGCCCTGCGCATTAACCCCTGTCAGTCTCTCTACTGACCTCACCTTCCCTATCCTGCACATTAACCCCTGCCAGTCTCTCTACTGACCTCACCTTCCCTGCCCTGCGCATTAACCCCTGCCAGTCTCTCTACTGACCTCACCTTCCCTGCCCTGCGCATTAACCCCTGTCAGTCTCTCTACTGACCTCACCTTCCCTATCCTGCGCATTAACCCCTGCCAGTCTCTCTACTGACCTCACCTTCCCTGCCCTGCGCATTAACCCCTGCCAGTCTCTCTACTGACCTCACCTTCCCTATCCTGCGCATTAACCCCTGCCAGTCTCTCTACTGACCTCACCTTCACTATCCTGTGCATTAACCCCTGCCAGTCTCTCTACTGACCTCACCTTCCCTCTCCTGCGCATTAACCCCTGCCAGTCTCTCTACTGACCGCACCTGCCCTATCCTGCGCATTAACCCCTGCCAGTCTCTCTACTGACCTCACCTTCACTATCCTGTGCATTAACCCCTGCCAGTCTCTCTACTGACCTCACCTTCCCTATCCTGCGCATTAACCCCTGCCAGTCTCTCTACTGACCTCACCTTCACTATCCTGTGCATTAACCCCTGCCAGTCTCTCTACTGACCTCACCTTCCCTCTCCTGCGCATTAACCCCTGCCAGTCTCTCCACTGACCTCACCTTCCCTATCATGCACATTAACCCCTGCCAGTCTCTCTACTGACCTCACCTTCCCTATCCTGCGCATTAACCCCTGCCAGTCTCTCTACTGACCTCACCTTCCCTGCCCTGCGCATTAACCCCTGTCAGTCTCTCTACTGACCTCACCTTCACTATCCTGTGCATTAACCCCTGCCAGTCTCTCTACTGACCTCACCTTCCCTGCCCTGCGCATTAACCCCTGCCAGTCTCTCTACTGACATCACCTTCCCTGCCTTGCGCATTAACCCCTGCCAGTCTCTCCACTGAACTCACCTTCCCTGCCCTGCGCATTAACCCCTGCCAGTCTCTCCACTGACCTCACCTTCCCTATCCTGCGCATTAACCCCTGCCAGTCTCTCTACTGACCTCACCTTCACTATCCTGCGCATTAACCCCTGCCAGTCTCTCTACTGACCTCACCTTCACTATCCTGTGCATTAACCCCTGCCAGTCTCTCTACTGACCCTTACCTGCCCTATCCTGTGCATTAAAACTTGCCAGTCTCTCTACTGACCTCACCTTCGCTATCCTGCACATTAACCCCTGCATCTCAAGCCAGTCACTTTATATGACCTCTGCATTTACCCCTTCACCACCACTCCCCTTTGTATATAACCTAAACAATTATGTGCACCATTACCAATCTTCATTTTAACCCTCTAAAAACCAGCTTGTTTTTTATTTCCCTCCAAAAGTCTGGCAAAAAAAAAAATGAGATCACCTTGTGTCTACCTTGCAAAAAGGGTCATTTGGGGGATTTAATACTGAGCTGACGGTTTTTTTTTATTTTAGCAGAAATTATGGAAAGCAGTTTTTTTACTTTTTTGGTATTTTATTTCCCTTTTATATGTTAAAAAATAAAAAAACCTTGGTGACTATTAAATACTACCAAAAAAGTTCTACCTCTCTCAAAAAAAGTGGTATACTTTACATTTAATTTGAATACAGTGTTGTATGATAAAGTAATTGCCAGTTGTCAAACTATCACAGCTCATAAAACTGAAAACTGGCCTGGTAATGAAGGGGTATTACAGGCTGGCACTCAAGTGGTTAAGCATATTGCTGAGACATCATAAGTTTAGGTGTGTCTGTGGCACACTGGGGATTACGCATACACCACACACCCACTCCATAAATCTGCTGAATTATCCTGAAGTCTGACCACTCACTGCCATATTAAATGTGCTCTCACTTACTGTCTGCCTTTTTCATGTGCTTATTTTATGGTGGCCATACATGCTGCAATAAATCATTGATTTCTTTTCCAATCGAACTCTTCTGATCGATTTGTAGCTTACAAGCCCCTTGATCAATATGCCACACACAGGGAAATGGATTTTGATCAGTTTCTTAAGATGGTTTTAAATTATTTATTTAAGATTATCTTAAATCAAGATATTAAAATCAAGATATTAAATTTAATTTATATGAGAAGCATGGGCAAAGCTTTTCTGGCTGTACCCCTATGGACCACGGGAGTTCAGCTCATTCTGCACTCCTGTAACCCATTTTCAGCTGGCTTTAGCCATCACAGAGCTGGTCCAGGCCCTGAAAAGACCTCAACCATATAGTCAGGATCCACCCAGATGCCTGGACTGCCAGCTGGCAAAACCTCCATAGCAATTCACTAAGAGCCTGAGTCAGCCACTCCCGCCCCTGCCCCCACCCCCTCCCCCTCCACAGCCTGACTCTCCAGTGAGTGCTGGAGGGGCAGAGCAGAGAGCTGATAAGTCAGTGCTTTTTGCTCAGAGCAGAGGGGAGAATTGAGTGATCAGAGGGTGTTTGATCTCTCACTGCAGAGATGGCAGGGCACAGATGGAGCATCAGATCAATGTTGCATCCATCCAGGTGGGTATAAATTCCCCCCCCCAAAACCCATACTTGTCTTTTATAATCATAATTTATAGTACAATCCTAAATTATTGATCACATCTCTGGTTCCACCATGTAATCTTATTGATCTAAATATGATTGTATTAATGATCAAAGCATCTCAGTGCTGCCAGTCGATGCAAAGCGATCAATAATTTGTTTTCTAACAACTTACAAAGTTCATAAATAGGGAAAACACAGTCTAATTAATATTTGGTCTGCTAGCCCTTTGCTATTAAAACACCAGCAATTCTCCCAGGTACATGTGCATACAGTTACAGATGAACTCCATGCAAACTGCTAAATCTGCTCAGATTAAGGTAATTATGCTGCCTTCTTTAGAAAAAAAAAAAAAACGCTAATTAATACAGAGCTGCAATAATGTGTGTATTTAATATCTGTCTGGAGTTTAGCTTTAACAAAGCATTCCAGGAATTATCTTGCCTGGAAATTTACTTTGGAGCAATCTAATTCTTCATAAGCCACCTCCAGAGGCCCACCTGTGATCCTGCAAATGACTGTAATAGCTTGTTCTACTGACCTCTTCTGGGTGCTGGAATGATTTCCCATGTCTTGCACTAAACACGTCTCTCGCTTCCATACCTCAGCCATTCAGGAAACATCTTACATTTTGTTTATTGAACACAAGGCTTTCTCTGATTGGACAAGGGGGAAATCATCTGATAAGTGTATTATGCATGGAGGCTACCCTAATGTATTATGGGATGACTGGCATGGTTACATCAGATATCTAAATTAAAACTGTGGTTTCAATATTTCCAGTTAGATAATGGAGGCTTTTGAGGGGTTCGATCATAACATCCAATAGGCCTACCTATGGGTTCATGCAGTGAACAGCTTGAGGCTTGTACTGTATTAAAGCTGATCACTGGACATCAGGTTCTCCTACTTGCTCCTTCAATATTCAGCTTCAAACTGGCAGCGATAAGTATTTTGTCACTTCCAGTTTCTGTTTTTTGTTTACCTGCCATTACCGGCTAGTACAAGCATCGGATCCAACCGATCTTGGACTGATCTGATGCTGTCAGGGGCAGGGGAGACATCTGGGGTCTAAAAGAGTACCTGTGACAAGGAATGTTTACATTCCTTGTGACAGTAATAAAAGTGAGTAGTAAAAAAAAAAAAAAAAAAAGTTAAAGCGCCCCCCCATCCCAAAGTACTCACGCACAAAGGTGAATGCACGCATATGAAAACTGAAATCACCCCACACATGTGAATGCTAATTCTAGCACCAGATCTCCTGTGTGCCTCTAAACTCGTGACCTGTAAAGGCTTTTAAAGCGTCACCTAGAGAGATTTTTAGGTACCATAGTTTGGTGCCGTTTTACGAGTGGAAACAATTTTAAAGCGTGACATGTTACGTAGCTATTTACTCAGTGCAACATCATCTTTTATATTTCACCCAAAAAATGGGTATTATATTGTGGTGTTGTGTGCACTAGAAGCCATTAAAGTGTGTTTTAAAAAACAAAAATGCTGTAAAAATGCAGTGACATAAAAGATTGCAAAACCCATCATTTTATATTCTAGGGCCTCTGCTTAAAAATATCTATAATTTTTGGGGTTCTAAGTAATTTTTCTAGCAAAAAAATGGTGATTTTTACATGCAGATTGAAAATGTCAGAATTAGCCTGGTTGGGAGCAAGTTGAATCAAAACCTGCAAAGCTCCTTTATTACCCAATTCCGTGCTCAAAAAGTGACGACATTGCTAGCTGGTTGAACTGTACAGCCTCAGGTTCCTCTTAGGTCCTGAAGACTCATTTGGCATGATCATGTCAGGACAAGGGGACCGATTGGCATGGGCAGAGATTGCAGTGATGGTACACCAGTCTCCACTCCTGGAAGAGGGATTGGCAAGGGACACATTGCAGCAGACATAGGTGAGTAAAAACATTCGTAGAAGTTTTGATTTTTATATGAATGGGAGGAGGTTTAATTTTGGCTGGAGTTGGGCTTTAACCCTTGTTCTGTAAAGGCCACCTAAAGACTACAATGCATTAATACAGTTCTGATTTGTAGAGGTTAATCCATAAAATAACATCCATATGTGTTTTTCATTGTTTACAGATTCAAGATGGTGGTCCTTTCCAAAGAACATGGGTATGTGCTCCTCACAGGAGCAGCAAGCTTTGTTATGGTCGCTCATCTGGCTATAAAGGTGTCCATAGCTCGCAAGAAATATAAAGTAGAGGTAAGAAGCACCTTCCTCAAATGACCTATAGCTCTTTTCCCAGAGCATAACATGTTACCAGTGCAGTGTAATTTCTCACAAGCAGTGGTCTATTACAAGAGAAGTATGGCCATAGCTCTCTTGGTCATACCTCTCTTGTGGGTCACAGGAGTGCTTTTACTTGTGCACTCCTGTGACCCAAGATCGCAACAATAATGTCTGGATCCACCCAGATGCCTAATTGACAGCTAACTCAGCTGCTGGGAGTCTGAGCCAGCCACTTCTTTCTTCTCTCCTGCCTGTCACTTCAGTGATCGCTGGAAGGCAGAGCAGAGAGCTGTGACTGGTCATCAGCATCTGTGCTCAGAGTGGCCCCAAAGAATGAGAGATCAGCGCTCACGTGATTTCTCAGTTCTTAGGGTTAGAGCCAGTGGGGATAGCTGCAGCGTCAGACCAATGCTGTAGCCATATAGGTGAATGTCTGTGTGTGTGTGTGTGGTTTTTGTTTCCTGCACTTCCCCCTTTAACTAATTGCCGACCGCAGATAGCCGAATGACGGCTGCACTGCGGCTGGCCAGTTCTGGGTGGACGTCATATGACGTCCTCCCAGAACGCGCTCGAAGGGCGCGCACCCGGCGATCTCCGTGATCGCTGTGTCCTACGGACACAGCTGATCACGTGACGTGGTAAAAGGCCAATCACAGCGGCCTTTTACCACGTGATCAGCAGTGTCCAATGACACGCTGATCACCGGGAAAATGCAAATGCCGGTTCTCGGCTGCACTTTCCTCACGCTGTCAGATCGCGAGGAAAGTACATCAGTGCCGAAAACCGGCAGTTGTCAGAGTGGGGATCGGCACCGATCATCAGGGTCACTGATCATCAGTGCCCTGATGATCTGTGCCCAGCAGTGCGCCCACCTGTGCCCAGCAGTGCGCCCACCTGTGCCCAGCAGTGCGCCCACCTGTGCCACCCAGCAATGTCGCCACCTGTGCCCAGAAGTGCCACCTACCTGTGCACAGTAGTGCCACCCACCTGTGCCCACCAGTGCTGCCAGTCAGCGCCCAGCGGTTGTGTCAGTCAGTGCCCAGCAGTGATGTCAGTCAGTGCCTATCAGCCTATCCGTGACACCTCATTAGTGCTGCCTATCAGTGCCGCCTATCCGTGCCACCTCATTAGTGCCGCCTATCAGTGCCCTTCACTGCTGCCTATCAGTGCCCATCACTGCTGCCTATCAGTGCCCATCAGTGCTGCCTCATCAACGCACATCAGTGAAGGAGAAAAATTACCTGTTTGAAAAATTTTATAATAATAAAACAAAAAAACTTTTTTTTTTTTTCAAAATTTTTTGCACTTTTTTTTGCTTATAGCACAAAAAAGTAAAGTGCCCAGCAGCGATTAAATACCACCAAAAGAAAGCTCTATTTGTGCGAAAAAAATTCTAAAAATTTCATATGGGTACAATCTTGAATGACCACACAATTGTCAATCAAAGTGCGACAGTGCTGAAAATTGGCCTGGTAAATAAGGGGGTATAAGTGCCCGGTAGGCACGTGGTTAAAGAAAACCACCAGGGGGCATTTATCATTTCCGTCTCCCCGTCCTCAAACACCTCCCCCCCCCCCCCCCCCCCCCCCCCCAAACGTCAAACCATCACCAGCCGTAACCTCCGCAACCTGAACCCTGCCCTTCTTCACTCCACAGCTGACCGTCTGTACGACAGTATCCCTCCACTATCCTGCCCCGACCTGGCCACTACTGCGTATAACAACTCGCTGTCAGCTGCCTTAGACTCCCTAGCACCCCTAACCACATGCAGCATCAGACCACAACCGCTTCAACCCTGGCAGAACGACCGCGCCAAAAATCTTAAACAACGCAGTCGTGCGCTGGAGTGATTATGGCGCAAAACCAGATCTCCTCAAGCGTACACCCTTTACAAATCCACCTTCCTCACCTACACCTCCTCCCTCCACTCCGCCAAACAAGCCTACTGCGTAACCCTCATCAACACCCTCTCCACCTGTCCTCGCCGGCTCTTCTCCACCTTCAACTCCTTACTCTCTTCCACCCCCCCCCCCCCCCCCCACCTCCACCCAGTACCTCACTCACCGCCACGAGATTGCCAACCATTTCCAAAACAAGATCGATGCAATCCGTAAGGACATCGCCAATGCTCAATCTACCTCTCCACCTAGTCTCCCTCCCAATATAAGCCCCGCAACTCTCCCCTCCTTTGACCTCGCAATCGCCCTGACCCCCTGCACACCTAATATCCCGCACACTAAAGCCTCCCCAACACTCCATTCCTTCAGCCCTGCTACCACCGAAGAGGTCACTAAGGTCTTCACAGAAGCCCGCCTCACCACTTGCCCCCTTGACCCTGTCCCCACACAACTCCTCCGGGCACCCTCCTCCTCCATCCTACGCTCCCTCACCCACATCTTCAATCTCTCCCTCTCTATTGGCGCATTCCCCTCCCCCCTAAAGCGCGCGCACATCACCTCCATACTCAAAAAACCCTCCCTGGACCCCTCCAACCTGAGCAAACTTAGACCCATCTCCCTGCTGCCATTTACATCCAAGCTCCTTGAACGATTGGTCTACACTCGCCTAAGCTCCCACCTCAATGACAACGACCTCCTCGATCCACTACAGTCTGGCTTCCGTCCCCTACACTCCACCGAAACCGCCCTTCTCAAAATCACTAATGACCTGCTAACCGCCAAAGCTAATGGCCACTACTCAGTCCTCTTACTCCTCGACCTCTCCACGGCCTTCGACACAGTTGACCACCCCCTCCTCCTTAATAAACTATACTCCCTTGGCATCAGAGACCCCGCTTTCTCCTGGCTCTCCTCCTATCTATCCCAGCGCTCCTTCAGCGTTACCTATAACGCTACCATCTCCCCCTCTCTGTTGGGGTTCCCCAAGGCTCTGTCCTCGGCCCCTTCTCTTCTCCATCTACACCTCCTCCCTTGGCCAACTAATACACTCCCACGGCTTCCATTACCACCTCTACGCCGATGACACACAAATCTACCTCTCCACCCTCACCTCAGCCCCTCAGTCTCTGCCCGTATCACCCACCTATTGAACGACATTTCAGACTGGATGTCGCTTCACTTCCTCAAATTAAATCTTTCCAAAACCGAGTTCCTAATTTTCCCCCCCCAGCCCGCGCCCCCAACCCCACCCTCTCCATCACGCCCAATAACGCCACCATCAGTCCCACCCCGCAAGCCAAAGTCCTAGTTGTCACTCTAGACTCAAACCTGTCCTTCCAACCCCATGTCCAATTGCTGGCAAACTCATGTCCTTGCTTTTTATTAGCACTGATCACTGTATTAGTGTCACAGGAGATGTCAGTGGCAGTAGGTTGCCACCCACTGTCAGTTAGTGTCAGAATGCCCACCGCAGTACCGCTATAATTAGCTGATTGGTGCCCTTACTAGTATAAAAAATAAAAATTCAAGTGTATATACAGTTGTGTCCAAAATTATTCAACCCCCACTGAAATTGAGTGTTTTGGCCAGTTTGACATTGCTTTTGATCATTCAGTCATCTTGCTTACATTTACATTAAAGAGGCACTTGTAGGTCAGACAAATATAACATAACAGTTATAATGAAATAACCACAAATGTCTTTTCTGTGCTCACAGCATTATCAGTTTTATTCAACCCCCAAGTGACATTCAATCTTAGTACTTAGTACAGCATCCTTTTACAGTTATAACAGCTTTTAAACGTGAAGCATAGCTTGACACAAGTGTCTTGCAGCGATCTACGGGTATCTTCGCCCATTCTTCATGGGCAAAGGCCTCCAGTTCAGTCACATTCTTAGGCTTGCGCACTGCAACTGCTTTCTTTAAGTCCCACCAGAGGTTCTCAATCGGATTTAAGTCTGGTGACTGCGATGGCCACTCCAAAATGTTCCAGCCTTTCCTCTGCAACCATGCTCTAGTGGACTTGGAGGTATGCTTGGGATCATTGTCCTGTTGAAAGGTCCAACGTCTCCCAAGCCTCAGGTGTGTGACGGACTGCATCACGTTTCCATCCAATATCTCCTGGTACTGAAGAGAATTCATGGTACCTTGCACACGCTGAAGCTTCCCTGTACCTGCAGAAGCAAAACAGCCCCAAAGCATGATTGACCCTCCACCATGCTTCACAGTAGGCAAGGTGTTCTTTTCATCATAGGCCTTGTTCTTCTTCCTCCTCCAAACATAGCGTTGATCCATGGGCCCAAACAGTTCTAATTTTGTTTCATCAGTCCACAGAACACTATCCCACAACTTTTGTGGTTTGTCCACATGGCTTTTGGCATACTGCAGTCGACTCTTCTTATTCTTTGGAGACAGCAAGGGGGTACGCCTGGGAGTTCTGGCACGGAGGCCTTCATTACGCAGTGTGCGTCTTATTGTCTGGGCTGAAACTTCTGTACCCACATCTGACAAATCTTTTCTCAGTTCCTCAGCAGTCACACGGGGACTTCTCTCCACTCTACGCTTCAGGTAGCGCACAGCAGTCGAAGTCAGCATCTTCTTTCTGCCACGACCAGGTAGCGTTTCAACAGTGCCCTTTGCCTTGAATTTGCGAATGATGCTTCCTAAGGTGTCTCTTGGTATGTTTAACATCTTTGCAATCTTCTTATAGCCATTGCCCTTCCTGTGAAGAGAAATCACCTCTTCTCTTGTCTTCCTGGACCATTCTCTTGCCTTCACCATGTTTGTAACCACACCAGTAAATGTCTAGAAGGAGCTGAGTATCACAGTCATTTTAAAGCTGCCTAATTGGTGCTTATTATGCTTGATTGCTGCTCGTGACATCCACAGGTGTTTTCAATACCTGATGGAAAGCACCTGTATGAACCTCTGTTCTTCAGAGTGGTAGTCTTTAAGGGGTTGAATAATTGTGGCAATGAAGAAACCACATAAGAACCATTTACTACTGTATTACATAAACAATTGATGTCATTTTAGTTGCATTTGGGTAGTTACAACGTCCTTGTAGGATTTGATTCTGAATACAATTCCAAATGTACACTATAGTCCCTAAACCCCTTTACAGCATTGGGGGTTGAATAATTTTGGACACAACTGTATACCGCCATTTGTAGACATAACTTTCACTTACTGGGATTCTTTACCAAAGATGTAGCAGAGTACATTTTGGCCTAAATTTAAGAAGACATTTTACTATTTTATATTACGATATTATTGGGTATGTCTTCTAGCAAAATGTGGAAAATATTGTTGTGGATTTTTTGTTTTTTTTGTTTTTTTTTTGTATTTTTTTCAAAATTGTCTTGTTTATAGCGCAAAAAAATACCACCAAAAGAAATTTCTATTTGTAGGATAAAAATTACATAAATTTCATTTATATACAGCCTTGCATGACCGCACAATTGTCAGTTAAAGTAACTCAGCGCCGTAAAAAATGACCTGGTCATGAAGGGAGGTAAATCTTCAGGAGGGCAAGTGGGGTTATAGGCTATTTCCTGTGCTGGTTGAATGTTTTTTTTGTTTTGTTTTGTTTTTTTTCATTGATTTAAAAGTAAAAACAACAAAACCTGTGATACCTATTGCCCTCTAGATACCCAAGATATTTTCTGGTTCAGATAAATGAAAAACCAAATAACATTTGTTTTTTTTGCACTATTCACACAGATGAAATGCACTTTCACTGGGTGAATTGCTATGCAAATGATCTTATAAATACACCTCTTAATGTTCAGCTTGATTAAAAAATGCTCACTTCTGTTGCTCTAAAGCAGCCTTTCTCAACCTTTTCAACACAGGGGAACCCTTGATGTAATTTTCCAGTCTCAGGGAATCCCTGCTAAAAAATGGCTTTATCTACAATTCATGATACATTGGTGTGATAGTCAGTTGGAAGAATGCTCCTTACACTCGTAGTCATTGGGAAGAATTACCCCCTTACAGATTGCTAAAAAGATCAATGGTGTCAGTGGGAACATTCCTGAGAGGCAAAAATTGCTATTTTCTCAAGAAACCCCTAGCAACCTCTGGAGGAACCCTGGTTGAGAAACTCTGCTCTAAAGTATCACTGCAGTAGAATCAAACCTGTCTCTGACCCCTACCAAAGGTTGTCGTTTTCGGAACTTGTAGTTTTCCCATTCAGAGAACACTGTGAATGAGTAACATGGCCGGGCGGGTGGAGCTTCACTTGGCCACATTTTTTAAAATTGTGACAGCTAGCGGGGGCAAAATATCCCCCACTAGCTGTCACAACGAAGGAGCAGGGGCCGGTCCTTTTGATACATATTAAACCCTGAATATGGGTGTAACATATTACGAAAAGTGAACTTATCCTTTAACACCTTTTTAAGTGGCCTGCACTGAGGGGAATCTGGATTTACCATTGCTCACCTCCTTCTGAACATGTTAGTTCCCTAGTTGTCTTGTTTGCCTTCTTTCTGAGTGAGTGACCTGGGATAAGAATGCAGCAAGTGATGTTAGAAATCCTGATCTGCCTCATTCAGTGTTTTGGTAAGTAATAAAGCTAAAGTTTTTAGCAAAAACTAAAAAAAAAACAAGAATCAGCACAAAGGGCATAACCAACAGTTAGTATGATGTGTCCGTTCTGATTCTTTCAGTAGAAATCTTGTTGTGCCCTTTGTTAGGTGCTTGAGAATGCATGTTTAGGGCTGGTCTTTTTAAGCTCTCTACTTCATATCCATTGATTAGATGAAGGGATGTTTTAATAGAGATTCTGCTATTTAATACTTTGTACATTTTGCTATCTGTTTAACACTGTTGAATAAAACAGTGTGGAAATGGATATTGTTTTGTAAATTGATGAATGCGTTTACTATCTTTTTGTTTTAATTGGTTAATTTAGTTGTATGTTGTGAAACACAATAATGATCCCAACAATAGCACCAATTTGTATGATCTGCAGTTATTCCTGCGGATTTGATCATTTACTAACCATCTTGAAAGATTTTGTAACTTTACATTTCTTGAGGCTGACCATACAGTATTGAACTCATCTGTTATTTTTAAAGAGAGAAATGTTGGTGATTTCTGATGTTAACTGTGTTTTTGTTCATTTCCTTCCTACAAGTATCCAAACATGTACAGTGATGACCCAGAAAATGGCAAGATCTTTAACTGCATACAGCGGGCACATCAAAATACGTAAGTATATGTGTCTGAGATTTCATACATGGCTTTACCTGCCCTCTACCCTACTAATCAGTAGCACTTTTATGTATAGTGAGATGCAACATCTTTAAAGTAGAACTATGTCTTGTGTGCTGCAGCACTTTATTATAAATGTATCTGCACCTAGTTTTCTCTTGGTCCCCCACAAAGTCTCAGTAGTACCTCTTGAGCCTGCCAGTGAAGTCTTTCTAATGCAACTTCGTGTGCTGGCGTAGCCACAATACTGCACTTCTCTTGGAATTCAGAACACAATTGCCATTCTCATGTAGGCTGTGGCTTCTTGCACTACAGTGGGATAAGAAAACATAGCAGGGTTGTGGCTATCAGGATTGTCGCTGTTGATTCACAACACTGTAACTTCTCAATCAGCGCCTGTCCACACCTTGTCCTTCTGGGCTGACAGCACTGACTGTATTGCTGAAACCCTCCCATTGAGCTGCAGTGTCTGGGAGGGGTAACATGTGAGACAAACATGAAGATTTGGGTTAGCTTTGAGGCTTGTGCATTATCCAGTAACTGGGTTTGATACCTATTTAGACTGTCCTACAGATAAATGTACCACCCTAAATTTTATTTATCCATAGCAATGCATTTATAACCCATAAATATAGCACATGCTTTTTATCTTCCCATACATTAAAACATTTATTTATTTCAGGTACTTATATAGTGCTGTCAATTTACGCAGCGCTTTACATATATATATTGTACATTCACATCAGTCCCTAACCCTCAAGGGGCATACAATCTAAGGTAATGAGACATACTTTGCAGCATTGGCCCACCACACACAGTCACAAAATTCCATACTTTTAGCAATTTAGTTCCACTCTAATAGACTTCTGAGTATCAGAAACATTGTCTTATCTCTGAATTTAGCTGCATCGGCTCCTAGCTAGAGTAACATTGTTCAGTTTTAAAACTTTGAATAATTATTGTGTGTTCCCTTTGAAACCTTGGGCAGATGCTAATGGCAAACATACAAAGGTGTACATATGTTTGTTCACAACCCACTGGAGTTCAAAAGCAAATACAAACTTCACTTCCCAAATTGTGCTTGGCATTGTCTCCTCCCTCACTATTTGTAGTTGAGGCTGGCTGTTGTAGTGCTGGATAAACACTGAGGCTGTATGTTGAAGTTGCTGTTTCATATTGGAGTTACCTGGACTTTGGGGTTCCAGCAAGATCCAGGTCCCTGCTTCACGTTTCTACTTAACATTCTACTTTCTCATCCTTGCTACACTTTCCTGTCTCTCTGTTGGAGCCCTAGATGTAATCTCTATGTAAGCACCTTGGTGATCTCTCTGACCTTACACAAGTTTATTGTTCTACTCCCCTCCAGAATGTTGTAGTGTTTAGGCCTGCCAATTGGCTCTTCAGGCCCCCGGAATTACCTCCAGCTGGGAAATTGAATTCTGACAGCGGTAATACACTGATTGGTGCCTGCAGCGATTGGCTACAGCCACTGATTGTGAAACGTATGTAACTGCGCTAAGAGAATCCAAACAAATTGTGGATCATAAAACTAAACAAACAGTGAAACAAAAGCCGCACTCAAAAATATCAGTACAATTACTCAATAAGTGATATCCAGTTGTGCTATTGGTAAAAACCAATAGCACAACAACAACTGGATATCGCATACAGCCACTGATCGACGGACATTGTTCCAACATGTTTCTTCAACAGAAGTGGATTCTGTTGTGCAGAGCAGCCCACATACTGATCCAGGTTCATCCAGTCCCTGCTGAACCAGCTGAATTTTGTTCAGTGTATGGCCAGCTTAAGAGGAGATGGTCACATCCTCCCCCATACCCAGAAGTATTTGCAAGGACAGATTATCAGAGCGGCAAGTGTGGGTTTAGAACATAAAACTTAAAGCCTTGAGATGCAAAGAGAGAGCACAGCATTGGTGTAGTGTCCCCTTCTTTTGTTATTAGTGTGGCAATCTAGGAACCCGTAATGGGTGCCGTTTGCTGTGTACCCCATACAGTAATCCTGATCTAAAAAAAAAAAACAACAAACAAAAAAACATGACTTTATCACTTGTCCTTTTTTGGTGGATATTTGATTTCTAATTAGCTCATTGACTGCGTTTAATAAAATGTTATGAAAGCGGTTCAGGACAGGAGATTTTAGCTACACTGTTTTGGTTTTTTTTTTTCCCCCACAGCAGTACACTTTCTTGGCTTCCTAGATAAAAAAAAATCTGTATATTTCATTGGGTTTCCAGGGGCATAAGTATTTTACAGTAGAAAAAACAAGTAATTGTCTTGGTTTATAGCTCCCAAGGTTGATCAGGTACCATCAATGACAGGTTGATCTACTGTCTTGGTAAAAATGGAAAACTGCATTTAAATTAAAGTAGAATGTTTATACTTGGCATGTTTTAGTCTCATGACCGCCATTCACACTTGAAAAAATTCCATCCTGCTTCCCTACACCTGACTACAATTAACGTACAGAATCCCATTTGTTGTAATTGTCCCTGTTCCCACTTGAAGGCTTAAAGTACATGAGATTTTTTTTTTATTTTTTTTTTTTAGTGTATTTAATCATTTTTACCTCCATATACTTCAATGAATGCTCCTGTAAACATGCAACACACACAATTGCATGATTTCTGTGCCTGAAAAATTCCTCTAGAACTTCCCTCCTCTTACACAGCCCAGGAAACAAATGCCTAAAACTTTAATATACATTCAAAAACGCTTGTATAATGCTTGACAATGCCCAAAAAATGCTTCTTGTTGTTACTGTGCAATATTTTTACAGTTTGGAATCATACCCTGCCTTTTTATTCTTCCTTGCTGCTGGAGGACTTACACACCCGGTAAGTGATTATTCTGTTAGCTCCTTACTTTGTTATTCTTTGCTGTGCCTAACCTATTTCAGGTTTGTTTTTTGCTGATCGGGGTTGCAGTGCTTTTGCAGTATATTTAGTTTCAGCCTGCGTTAAATGTTTTTGGATTTTGGAGTTTTGCCACCAGAAATATCAGAACACAAATATGAGGTGCAAATAACTTTTATTGCATGTGATACACATTTTTCATACTCCATTCCTAAACCTCAATGTATTATCTAGATCTAAACCCTACACTTAACCATAGACCTGAGCCTAGCACTAAACCTGTAAATTACCAGCACCAAAAACCTGGGCTATGCAATGGTTCCATATCTATAACAATAGTCAAAAATATTTATCTAAAGTGTAATGCTTATGTAATTATGATGAGATTAAATGTAACTAAAGGCAATTTTTTTTTTCATTTTGGATAGAGTAAGGAGAGGTTATATCTCCTGTCAGGTTTTTTTTTTTTTTTTTTTTTTTTTTTTTTGTCTTTCACTTAAATCTTTATTAAGGTTTAACAGAAAAATAATACATAGGTAAAAAAGAGAATAGAGAGAGACAGTATGAAATTTTTTATATATATATTATACATACACTTCATTAAGAGAGGTTGTGCAACCTGACCCAGGCATCAACAATAGACTAAAGAGGACTCAATATTTCAGGCAAGTTGATGTCATCTTGTGGTCCTTGCTGGGAATAAGAGTACGAGTAACAGGTTAAGGTATTTCAGGAACCGGCCTATGCTATCTGGTAAGTGAGTCACTAGATGGATGGTTTAACCAGGGGGACCAGTTTGCGAGAAATTTTGGGTTGGTCAGGTGTGCTTTAGCGAACATATGCTCAATATTTAAATGTTGATTAAGAGTTATGACATGTTGAATAGTTGGTGGGACATGATTTTTTCCACTTGCATGCAATAGAGAGGCGTGCTGATATAAGGACGTCTGTAATAATGGAGTGATAGTGCCAAGGCCATTCCTCCAAACCTATTCCCAGCAAAGCCAACTGAGGTGTAAGGTCCTGGGAAATGCCAGTGACCCTTGTTATTAGAGAATGTACATAAGATCAGAAAGATACTAAAGTTGGACAAGTCCACCATATATGTGCAGATGTGCCTCTATGGCCACAGTTCCTCCAACAGGTTATAGACTGGGATGGAGAGAGATGGAAGATTTTCACTGGCATGTAATACTAGTTATGAATGATCTTTTGAGCAGTTTTCCAATGAGTGAGATCCTGTCAGTGTTTTTGCCGTTCGTGTCCCATAGGGGTAATTTCCCTTCACTTCCTCTCCGATAGTCATTTCTTGGAGAGTCACAAGGGTCACCAAAATTAGTGTCTCCTTTGTAAGTTGCCCCCTCCATTCCTCTTCTGATATTTTATTTTCACTTTTGATGTGAACTGTAAACGGGACAAATAGAGAGTGAATCTCCCTAATGGGCACAGAGCAATAAAAACCTGACAGGTGTTCTAATCCCTCTTCATTCTATCCAAATAAAAAAAAATTGCTTTTAGTTACGCTTTTTAAATCGGCCCTCCACTTGTTTTAAAGGATAAGTTCACCTTTTTATAAAAAATAAATGCACATTTTTTTACAGGTAAAAAAAAAAAGTGCATTTACTATTTTCTGTTTCTGAAGCCTCTAAAGCATTGCACCAGCGACCAACAGATTGCTGGTGCCATGCAGGTCTCCTGCAGACCTGTCAGTGAATCTGCATGCCCATACATACAATTGTAACAGCTAGCAGGTGGGAGAAGACCCCCCCCCCCCCTAGCTGTCACAGGGGAGCGGGGGCAGATCTTGTAACTTTTTACATGTTGCACCCTGAATATGGGTTTAACATGTTAGAAAAGGTGAACTTATCCTTTAAGGTGGTGAAGCTTTCCGTTTGTGCCTAAAACTGATACATTATGATCATATCTTTATCCAGTTGATTCTTAAGAATTGTGTGTGGATTGTGTTTAATAAATAAGATTAGGTTGCATAGTGGCTCTGCTGAAAATTACTGCACAATGCCAAGTAAATGCAATACAACACACTCTGCTGGCTATCAGAGACAACTGCTGATTATTTTTACTCTTGGGGTTCATTGCCCATCTCCTAAAGAACAACTTCACTTAGTGATATTGTCCTATAAATGAAGCCTGAATGGTAAAAACTTGCCTTCTTGCTTCTGCTGGATGTCATCATGAATACAGAGCATCCAAAAGGAATGAATGGGGTGTCTGTGGCGCACGTGCACACTTGGAAGAGAAAATGGCCAAGACATTTTTCTTGCAAAGGTTGCATGGTGTTGGTCGGGGTACACAGTGAAGAGCTCCAGAAGAGGGAAGTGGGTAAGTATTTCACCATGCAGGTTTCACTGGTGGGGGGTACCTGCAGAAAGAAGATTTAGGATCCCTCTGATGACCACATGGGGCAAAAAGAGAACGATATCTACCCAATTGAAACAGGGAATGCGAGACTTGACTGCAGTTCAGCTTTACTTATTAAAACTTTTTTTGGATATGTACATATTGCATTTGCATTTTTACACACTGTATGAAAATCAAATATCTTTAGTATATACAGTATATTCTTTAACAGATTTTACAGATGCTTACTTCCTTTCATCTATTTAGTTTATATGTATAAATAAAGTGGAGCGCTATAAACTCACAATCTGTATAATGATATTAATGCAGTAATCAATATAAATTATGCTCTTAATAGTGTAATCAAAAAGGTATATAAAAAGAATAAAGTGCAGCAGTGCAACTAAATAAATCAATGTCCATAATATTACTATATATAAATCAGCAAATCTCAATTGATAATAGTCCTCAAATCAATTGCAATGTATCCAAGTGCACAAGTGCAAAAATCCACAAAGGGAATCCACCACCTTGGACAGATGTACACTCACCAGAAAGCAAACCTTACTAGGCATCTGTTAAAACCTGTCACATCTGGAGGTGCAGAGGTAAAGAGGCAGCCCAGGGGTTAACCCTGCTGCTTCATCCGTATGCAAGTGTGGAGAGTATACCTTGTCCTGGGAGAGATAGCTCAACCACAGGAGCATCATCACAGGAGCCTCAGCACTGAGGGAGAGCGTTCCTGGCTCCTGTGGTTGAGCTATCTCTCCCAGGACAAGGGATACTCTCCCCACTTGCATACGGATGAAGCAGCAGGGTTAACCCCTGGGCTGCCTCTTTACCTCTGCACCTCCAGATGTGACAGGTTTTAACAGATGCTTATTAATGTTTGCTTTCTGGTGAGTGTACATCTGTCCAAGGTGGTGGATTCCCTTTGTGGATTTTTGCACTTGTGCACTTGGATACATTGCAATTGATTTGAGGACTATTATTGACTTGAGATTTGCTGACTGATATATAGTAATATTATGGACATTGATTCACTTATTTGCACTGTTTTGCACTTTATTCTTTTTATATACCTTTTTGATTACACTATTAAGAGCACAATTTTATATTGATTACTGCATTAATATCATTGTACAGCTTGTGCGTTTTATAATGCTGCACTTTATTACATGTTTACATTGGGATCGTTGCCTAAGCCCTGAGTTCCAGCAGCTAACTTAATATTTATATCTATTGTCAATTAGCGCTTGCTTACATATCCTTTTTATATTTAGTTTACATACATGTATATTTAAACAATATAGCCTGAGGTTCCTTTTTTTTTTCACTTGCTGAATGATTGACTTGTTTATATTCCTACAGCGTGCTGCTAGTACTATGGGAGTTGTGTGGATTATTGGCAGAGAACTTTATGCCGCTGGATACTCTACAGGTGGTAAGTACACAGGCTCATTAGTTGTATTTCCCTTAATTTAAACAAACCAAAGTGTGTGTGTGTGTGTGTGTGTGTGTGTGTGTGTGTGTGTGTGTGTGTGTGTGTGTGTGTGTGTGTGTGTGTGTGTGTGTGTGTGTGTGTGTGTGTGTGTGTGTGTGTGTGTGTGTGTGTGTGTGTGTGTGTGTGTCAAACTTTCAGAAATATACCAAGACATGCAGGTTGTGACTCTGTCCTCCTGTTGGTAGGGAATATCAGTTCATATAGTGGTTCTTCCTACGTAAAATTGAGGTCCAACTTACTGGAAAGTCATGTAAACCGAGAAAAATGTCTTTGTTCCACTAGAGCAGACAAAGGCTTCCATAGTAATGAAATATTTGAACCCTTTCGCTACCAGAACTGTTTTTTTTTTTTTTTTGTTTTTTTTGCTCACATGTTCAAAGTCATTTTTTTGCCTGAAGATTACATAAAATCCCCAAACGTTATATATTTTCTGAAAGCAGTCACCAAAATAGTGTTAGTTCCAATTTTTTATGTTACACAATATTAACGCAGTTGTTTAGGAAATTTAAAAAAATCAACTAAAGTTAATTTTAGGGCACACAGATCCAATAAATGACACAAATTATGGTACAATATAAAAGATGAGATTGTGCTAAGTAAATAGATATCCAACATGTCAAACCTTAAAATTTTGTGTGCCTTTGAAATCGACAAACTTCAGTATTGTATATTTTCCTTAGGCAACGCATTAAAGCCCCTACAGGTCATCAGTTTCGAGTTACCCAGGAGCTCTGGTGCTAGAAATATTGCTCTTTCTCTGATGCTTGCATTCTTTCTTACGTGCATGTATGTGGGGGCCTCAAATTTTTTTTTGGAGGAAGGGGGGCGGGATTTTAAGTACTTGGATGGAACTTTTTTTTACAATTTAAAATGTTTTTTTTTCCTTCAAGTGTTATTAAACCCTCAACAGTAAAATCAGTTTGTATATGCAGTAACGCATGCTTGTTATACTCACTGTGGAACCTAAGGGGTTATTCCTCTGCACTGTGCAAAAATGCGGTTTAATCCTGACATCTCTGATCCCTCCCTTCTTCCAATGTCCCCCTATTATCTCCTGATAAGACATATCTTGTGGAGTCACTCTGAACATGCTCAGTTTGGTGTGTATTGATAGGGGTTTTTTTTTTCTTGGGAGAATGCATGTGATCAGCACAGGGCCAATCAGCACTGTCTAGACAGAAGTCGGGGGTTCTGCATC